ATGTGTGTGTGTGTATATGTATAAGGTGGCCGCACCTGTAGACGTTAGTATATTTTTTTGATAGACCTCACGCACCCAAGTACACAGTCTTACACTGTGTCGTATCCTATCAGTGAGTAGGCCTTTCTTTTAGCCTCCTTCAGTGACACCCACGTGTATTAGAAAAAAGTCCATTCAAAACGCTAAACCCTAAAACCCTAAAAGTCTAAAATCTCCACCACCCCTTGTTGGTTGATCCACTGATAGTAAAGTAGGAGTCTCAACCTTATTACGCGACAATAGAGATATGCTACTTATGGTAAATAGTTAGATACAGTTTGCTTTCATATGTACTCACCTGACATCATACCATCTACTCACTCAATAGCCACAACACGATCACCAATACTTAACACACCCATAGTACATTACTAACCAAACACCTAATATCACACAATCTACTCACCCCATAGGCACAAAACTCCGGATACTCTACACCACCCGCCGCAGCAGCCAAGCCCAAACAACCGTTGCAATCCAAGCCAACGTCTGTGATGGCCACAACCGAACGTGAACTAGACACATATGCAGAGTAAGGATATACTCTGTATTACTACTAAATTTTATCATAGGCAGAGGATGTGGTATCGTATACCTAACGTAAGATTACTATATGTTATCATATTTACACAAGCGTACTGACTATCACCGTATTCCTAATAGGAGCAATACTATATATTGTTGTCTGTATATGAAGTACGTATACATGTGGACGCATGTGTAGACACAGTCCTAACATTTCAACACTTAGTTGATATCGTCTCTGTCCAAAGCGATGACGCATGGGCCACACATTTGTGTACTAAACCTCTTCATAACAATCAGTTTGTTTTGTTTAGTTTGGTTTATTTGGTATGTCTTGGGTAGTGGTATGGTATGGTATGTGTATAGTTTAACCCCTTGTTGATATACCCTGTCCATTCCTCAGTGATGAAGATGTGAGCTCGTTGACGATCACCAGTTTAACATTGGACTTGGGCACCCCCAACACCAACAACTCCTTCGCCACATCACCAGTGAATGGGCCCAAAAGCAAACAGACGCAGAAAAAGGTGTGGGAGAGAATGAAATGCACAGAAAATAGTGAGTGACATGGTTTAATGATGGTGATATAAAGTGCGGGAGAGAATGAAATGTACAGAAAATAGCGTGTGACATGGTTTAATGATGGTGATATAAAGTGCGGGAGAGAATGATATATATATATGTAAAGTGTGTGACATGGTTCAATGATGGTGATATAAACGGGTTTAAGTATACAGCGGTAGGAAAATTATACGTACGCTGTTGTATGATGATAGTGATATAAAGGCGTCTAAACGTGCAGAGGTAGTTAAATGATACATACGCTGTTGTATGATGTTGTATGATGTTGGTGATATAAAGGCGTTTAAACGTGCAGAAGTATATAAATGATACATACGCTGTTGTATGATGTTGTATGATGATGGTGATACAAATGTGTTTAAACATACAGAGGTAGTTAAATGATGCATACGCTGCTGTATGATGTTGTATGATGATGGTGATACAAATGCGTTTAAGCTTGCAGATGTAGTTAGATGATTCATACGCTGTTGTATGTTGATGGTGATACAAATACGTTTAAACATGTAGAGGTAGTTAAATGATACCTACGCTGTTGTATGATGTTGTATGATGATGGTAATACAAATGCGTTTAAACGTGCAGAGGTAGTTAAATGATACCTACGCTGTTGTATGGCGCCACCAGTATTTTATTAACATCGGCCAACGGGTCAGTGTCTTGCGCTCGCACAATGAGAGTGAGATATCACGAGGAGTGTCGCCTCAATAACTATTCATATACAATCAACCAATCACTATTCATATACAACCAACCAATCACTATTCATATACAATCAACCAATCACTATTCGTATACAATCAACATACAATCAACCAATCACTATTCATATACAATCAACCAATCACTATTCATATACGATCAATCAATACTTATTCACATACAATCAACTAATCACTACTCATATACAATCAACCAGTTCCTATTTATATAAAGTCAACAATCACCTGCACATACAGTAAACTGTGTGCACTGATAATTCAAATGCAATCACTCACTCAGTCATACAACAAACTGCGTCCATTAATATTAAAATACAAACACTCACCTGCACATACAACAAACACCACCACACAGCAGATGAAAGACAAGCTTAGCCATGAGAGCGACACCTATGAAGCACGTCGCACGGGTGGTGTTACAACATACTCGGTAAATGAGGTGAAGCACAGACCTGTGCCGTTACCACGGCCGTCTACGACTGCGGGTATGTTGGGTGGTACAAGTGGATGAATGGCA